ACAGGTCGAGCGTTCGACACACGACAAAATAGAAACCGCGCGAGACACACAAACGATGAAATAGAAACCGCGTGAGACACTCAAGCTACAACGTAACACGCGACTAGCGATGACTCGCTATTGACTGGACACACATACATTCAACATCATGACTCATCATTCACTCACTACTATATGCATGAAATATATTTTATCTCATGTCTTCATACCATTCCATGCACACACGCATGCACGAACACAGACAACAAGCCGAGTGCAAACCGTAGGATTGCACCAACACCAGGTGCCTCCCGTCACCGTAGGTGCTAAGCGGAGAATCTCAAGTGTATATACTAACCTAGGCCTATCAGTTTTGTGCATGTTTCTTTGTTTTCTGCTTGAGTGGAATTCACACTTCAACCAGCTTCATAGTTGGGTCGTCCCAATGCCGGAACCAGTCAAAGTAGTGGGGAAACTTTTGACAAAGAAACAAGGTTCCGTGTAGGAGTATGGAGTTGCGTTCTCGGGGGATTTATCACCTGAGGCCTGCGGTGGCGAGCCTGCGTTAGCCGCGATGCAGGGAGAAAATCAGCGGAGAGGTCAGCAGGACCTGGTACAGGGCGGACCTCGATCGAAATAGAGACGGAGCAAAGCAAGGTGTACAGGCCACCGGCAAGGCGTTACAGCAACGGAGATCTTCCGGCGGCAGCAGCGATGACAGAGAACATGCCGGCCGCGGAGAGACAGGATCGGCGTCTGCAGCTCAATGAATTGGTGGAGAGGGCAACTTGGCAAGAGGAGGCAGCAAGCGGTCGAATCCCATAAGAGATGCGGCAGAACGTAACGCAGCTAATGGAGATGGAGGAGGGACGAGGAAGTGCACGCTAGCGCTACACCAACCTACCGGAAGTCAGAGTCCCGGAGAGATTTGTTGGACGTCAATGCGAGGGCGCGGATCTCAGGAACTACATGATGCAGGTTGAGAACTACCGGTATCGCTGGGAGAGAGACGGGTTAGAGCCAGATTGTTTTTCCGCGGCCTCTCCGACACTCTGAGCGGCGAAGCTGAGACATAGTACCGAATGGTGATGCAAGATATGATACGAGAACACCAAAGGGGGGACCCGCGGAGGCTGCAACGGCAGTTTCTAGTACAAATGCCGGAGAAGATACGGGAATTCACTAACTTCTCACGGTGTCGCGGGGAATCCTTGCTACTACGGGCAGCTGAAGGAGCTAGCGGCGGACATGGAGTGCAACGACAGCAGGCGCTTGATCGGGAAGTTTCTTGGGGGACTAGACGAGGACATGGTGAAAGACTTGAAGAGTAAGGTTTTTGATCTGGGATGGGAAGCGACACTGCAGCAAGTGTACGAGCTGGCCCGGCGATATGAAATGGGACAAAAACTGTACAAACTGGAAAGGGTGGAAGCACGAGGAGCAAACCGCCAGCGAGGCGCATGGTCCGCGGTGCCACAAGGAGAAGTGAATCAGAGGGAGGAACCGAGGCGGGGAGGAGAGGAGGCATGGTCGGAACGGAGGAAGTGTCACCGCTGCGGCCAGACTGGTCACATCCAGCACGACTGCGTGCAGCCACAGTGATGGACACCTGTGGAGAGCTGGGGCATCTGAAGCAAGAATGCCCCAGGGCGCCAAGCTGCAAGGCGTGCGGAAAGAGGGGGCATAAGGAAGAAGACTGCTACTCACGCCGGCCGCCCAAGGGAGGGCCAAAGTAACAGGAGGAGATCAAAGAAGAAATGAGAAAGCTACAAGCGCGGCTGGAGCGGTTGGAGGAAGATCCAGCACCAAAGGGAGCGATGTATGCCGGAGGAGAGGAGGAGGAGTGCCGCACTGAAGCGTTGTTCTAACTCATGGAGAGGACGCGGCATATGAAGGGAGTGTTGCACGACCGAGGGGGAAACCCTCTTCATTGGAGGGAACCACGCGATCTGTGGGAAGTTGCTCGACAATGCGAGCCCGACCCAGAACATGCGGAGTCCGCATTTCGCCATCCTAGCAAACGGCTGGTGTGTCAGTCGACAGTGCTGGCAGTGGCCAGGGGGGCAATAGCAGTGGGAGGGGTGCCCGTGGAGATGGCCATAGTGGACACCGGCGCTCACCACATATTCATAGGGAAAGGGCTGGCTGCCCGTGCACAAGGAGGCCGGTGGAAATAGTGTTGAAGCCAGGTGAGAAAGACGAATGCTACGGTTGCGATGTGGAGTCTGGGAGTCTGAGGACTACGATCTCCTGCTTGGCATGGAACTCATATACAAGATTAGAACTATACAGGGGCCCTCGGGAACAATTGGCGGTGCACTTCGTAAAGCAGTAACCGAAGGGAGCGTATCAGGCATGGATGGTGTATCTGGCTGAACAGCTCGGGGGGATCTCGTAGTATGAGGCGGAAGATCAACTCTATGAATGGTAGGAAAAAGAGGAGTAGGTTGAGCACTGCCTGCTCCTTCTTACACTGAGTCGACAAACTCCAGGAATGAGCGTCGAGAGCCTGCGTCTCGTCCAGCTACTCCTCTTCGTACTCATCATGGTCCCCGTGTTTGTTCTCCACCTGTCCCTGTCACTCACACTATGGCACTTCGTCCTTCCTCTGTTGCACAGCGTCCTGTCATGCCATCTCCTCCAGCGTCCTTTCTTCCTGATGTTCCTGGCCCTTAGTCTGAACTTGCTCGTGCTGCCAGTCCGATTGTCACTTGTTGCCTGGCCACACTTATCATTGACCCTAGTTTTGGGTCTGCTACTCCGTCTGCCTTAGTCACTGAGCTCGTTGACTTTGCTGTTGCCTGTCGTCTTGACTACTTTGCGAGTCTTGTTTCTGAGCCTGATTTTCCTCCGTCCGTCGGGGGTGAGCACGCCCTTGGCTGTGACGTCCTTGAGGACAGGCAGTTTGAGCTCAAGTGCCTCTTGGTTACTATACCTCATCTTGCTGCCATGCTGCTTGCCCCTAAGGGAGACCCCGATGCACTGGACATCCCGATCTCGCGCTCTTATGCAGAGGCGATCACATGTCAGTACCCCTCTCAGTGGCAGACGGCAAGGCGCGTTACATTGCACGAGGCTTCAATCAGTGGCAGGGGGTCGACTTCTTCCATACCTTCTCACCCACCTCAAAGATGACAAGTCTTCGGGTATTATTACACGTTGTAGCACAGTGTGACTATGAGCTGCACTCTCTTGACTTCTCCACAGCTTTCTTGCAGGGCAGCCTACACGAGGAGATCTGGCTACGCCGCCCACCTGGCTGCACTGGATCGTTTCCTGAGGGTACCCAGAGCCAGTCTACAGTCCCAATCAGGCACCTCGCGAGTGGCACAACACACTAAGGAGGACGCTTGCGGCTCTTGGCTTTAATCCTTTGACTGCTGACCCGTCGCTATTTCTGCACACCGACCCTTCTCTGCCGCCGTTCTACATCCTCGTGTACATCAACGACTTGGTCTTTGCTACTGCTGGCACTGAGGCACTGGCCTTTGTGAAGGCGGAGCTGTAGAAGAGACACACATGCACTGACTTGGGTGAGCTGAGTACCTATCTTGGCTTGCAGATCACCCAGGACAGAGCAGAGCGCACCATCACTCTAACTCAGTAACACATGGTGCAGTAGGTACTTCAGCACTTCCGATTTCAGTTCTCCTCACCACAGCTCACTCCTCTGCCTACGAAACACTCGCTCTGAGCTCCACCTTTAGACGAGTCAGTACAGCTGAGTGGTCCATATGTAGAGCTTGTGGGCTGCCTCATGTACCTGATAACATACACTCGACCTGACTTCGCATACCCTCTCAGAATTCTGGCGCGCTACGTTGCGCCTAGGAGACACCGGCCTGGGCACTACCGGGCTGCGCTGAAGGTATTGCATTACTTGTGCAGTACATTAGGCATGGGGTTTCTGCTTGGAGGACGGGGTTGTGTTGTGCTCACAATGCACTCAGACGCTTCTTGGGCCAACGACCAGGAGACCCAGCGGTCGTCACAGGGTTACACTTTCAGTCTCGGCACTGGTTCTGTTTCGTGGAGGTCCACTCGCTTGTCTGCTGTATTTAATTCCAGCTATGAGGCCGAGATCTACGTTGGGGCTATGGCTGTGTGGGAGTTACGCTGGCTGGCCTACTTGCTGACTTGGGTGAGCGGCCTCGTTCTCCTCCGGTTCTGTACGTCAACAACAAGGCCAAGATTGCCTTGTGTCGCGAGTAGAGACTGGAGAACAGAACGAAGCACATTGCTCTTCGATACTTTCTCGCACAAGAGCTGTAGCGGCGTGGTCAGCTTCCCCTTGCTTACGAGGCCTCACAGGCCAACTCTGCTGATATCTTCACCAAGGCCCTGGGGCCTGGTGATTATCAGCGTTTCTGCACTGCACTTGGGCTGGTGCCCACTCTGCCTCGCATGCTTGTCTCTTGATCTCGCATTTCCTTTGTTGAACACTGCTATATGTCTTTTTACCTGCATGTTTACACTTACTAGGTTGTGATAAGTACACTGCATTTGCTATTATAGCTCTGCATGTAAACTGGCCTTGTGGCCTCCTTCTTGTGCTCGATGATCTTGAGATCCACCCTCAGCTTTGCTTTGTTTCTTCTCTTGACTAGTTTTGTGACCATTTGTTGTTCTTGATATCCCCCACTTCGCATATGGGGGTGTGTCAAATTATATTCAGTTGTTTGTGTTTAGGCTGTAGTGGGGTAGCACATATGGGGTACAACCCTTTTAGGGTTAGTACCTGTATCTCAATTGTTTCATATTCAATCATTCCTACCACTTGTTTCTAGCAGGTCGCAATGGCACGGATGGCTTCAGCATGTAAGGATTGCGTCAGAATTTCTTAAACAACGTACCTTTATGTTAACATATACTTTACATGTGTTGTTGAGTTTAGACTAGGTGTTACAGTTGTGTTTGCTTACATGGCTAGGGTTTCCTATATCTAGGGTTGTACTTGTCATTGCTCGTCAATCATTCCATAGTTCACATTCTAACACGGTATCAGAGCCTCGTTCGCTCCGATGGGTCCACCGCCCGTACCTAGCCCGATCCCATAGCACTCCGTCGCCCGTAGCGCCCCGTTGCCTGACAAGCCCCGCTGCACGTAGCACCCATTTAGGTCGCCTTCCCGTCGCCTCCGTGCCCCCTCCCCGTCGCCTTCCCGTCGCCTCCCCGTCCCCTCCCCATCGCATCCCCTCCCCGTCGCCTTCCCGTCGCCTCCCCGTCCCCTCCCCATCGCATCCCCTCCCCGTCGCCTCCCCATCACGTCCCCTCCCCGTCACCTTCACGTCGCCTCCTCGTCCCCTCCCCGTCGCCTCCCCATCGCGTCCCCTCCCCGTCACCTTCACGTCGCCTCCTCGTCCCCTCCCCGTTGCCTTCCTGTCGCCTCTGTGTCGTGTCCCCTCCCCTTCGCCTCCCCATCGCCTCCCCTCTCCGTCAAATCCTCATCCCCTCCTCATCGCCTTCCCGTCGCCTCCACATCGCGTCCCCTCTTCGTTGCCTCCCCTTCGCGCCCCCTCCCTATCACCTTCCCGTCGCCTCCCCGTCGCGTACCCTCCCCGTCTCCTCTCCGTCGCCTCCCCGTCGCGTCCCATCCGCGTCGCCTCCCCATCGCCTCCCCATTGCCTCCCCTTCGCATCCCCTCGCCGTGGCATCCCTGTCGCGTCCCCTCCGCGTCACCTCCCCGTCGCCTCCCCGTCGCGTCCCCTCCCCATCGCTTTCCCGTCGCCTCCCCTTCCCCTCCTCGTCGCCTTCCCGTTGCCTCCCCGCCACCTCTCGTCGCCTTCCCATCGCGTCCCCCTTCCCGTCGCTTCCCGTCACCCCTCCATCCCCTCCCGTCGCCTTCTTGTCGCCACATCGTCGCCTCCCCTTCCCCTCCTCGCCGCCTTCCCATTGCATCCCCGCCACCTCCCCGTCGCCTACCTTTCCCATCCTCGTCCCCTCCTCGTCGCGTTCCCGTCCCATACCCGCCACCCACCTACTACCCGTCGCCCCGCTTGCTACCCGCGCCCCCCCTGGCTAGAAGGCCTTGCGCCCCCCCAGCTAGAAGGCCCCATGCCCCCCCCCCCCAGCTTAGGCCTCGTGGCCCCCAACTAGAAGGCCCCGTGGCCCTAGCTAGAAGGCCCGTGGCCCCCAGATAGTAGGCCCCGTGGCCCCCCAGCTAGAAGGCCTCGCGGCCCCCAGCTAGTAGGCCCTGTGCCCCCCCCAGCTAGATGGCCCCGCGGCCCCTAGCTAGAACGCCCCACGGCCTCCAGCTACTGGGCCCCTCGGCCCCCAGCTAGACTGCCCCGCGCCCCCCCGTACCCGCTAGTCGTACCCGTACCCGTACCCGCTACTTGTTACAACACTGACTTGACTAGTAACCGGGGTTTACAAAGGGCCTAGGCTTAGGAGCCTAGGCCAAGCGGGTGTGAGATGGTTGTGCCAAGGAGAATTGAGAATGGTTGTTTCACTAATAGAAATTGATACAAGATATAGTTGAGAATGAGGCACAAGAGGTGGAACACCACCAACAAGAGGAACAAACACTAAAGTAACTACAACAAGCACGATATAGATTAAATATAACTTTAACACACCCCCTTAGCCTGCTTGCCGTAGGAACTAGTGCAGTCAACACCCCCTGAAGGTGCACACCTGGCGCAGTGGGAGATGGCAGAGAGATAAGTGATGTGGAGGAGGCAAGAGAGGGAGGGAGGAGAGGAGAGGGGAGAAGGACGAAGGAGGAGCTGAGAGAGAGAGAGGGGGAGAGGGGGTCTGTTCTCTGCTTTCCTTCTCTTAGCCTAGCGGCTCGGAGAGAGAGCGAGAGAGAGAGAGAGAGATTCTGTTCTCTGCTTTCCTTCTTTTAGCCTAGTGGCTCAGAGAGAGAGCGAGCGAGAGAGAGAGAGAGAGAGAGAGAGAGAGAGAGAGAGAGAGAGAGAGAGAGGCTTAGGATCTAGTCCTTAGCCTCTCCAGCCCTCCCTAGCTTAGTATAAAGGCCCTAGGACCTAGGTGTGGGCCTCATTCTTCATTCTGTTCTCTGCTTTCCTTCTCTTAGCCTAGCGGCTCGCGCCGGCCGCCTTCGGCGTAGCGGTTCAGGGCGGCGCTGAATGTATCATCCACTCGGTCCGAGCACTACTAGAAGAGGATAGTTCACGGGTTGCCCTACAGATCAACGTAGAGAACGCCTTTAATAGTGTGGAGAGGCACGCTTCAGTGGTCCGAACTTAACCCCGTGATCCCGCTGGTCCAAAACCTCTACGACGGCCCATCCCCTCTACTTCTTGATGTGGCGTTTGGCGACAAAAGGATCGTCAGCACGAGAGGGGTCCACGTTGCCATGGCGTTTACGGAAGTTGCGGTCGTGGCTTACGCAGACGATATTACAGTGGTGGGTCCCCCGGAGGCAGCAAGAAGAGCGTTTGACCTCCTCGCGAGCGGCCTGCAGCGATGCGGACTCCGCTGCAACCACTCCAAGTCGACGGCATGGGGCCTGGAGATAGTAGACAGGGAAACAGAGCTGCCTCAGGGAATCACGGCGGAAGGGGGTGGTATCACGGTGCTAGGGAGCCCCATAGGGTCCCTAGACTTCTGTGCAGCGTTCTTACGGGACAGTCTGACGGTGGCGGCGGCTTCGTGCGATCTCATCGGGCAACTGCACCCCCAACATGCGCTCCTTCTGCTGTCCCGCTGCATCTCCAGACGAATATCCTACCTACTACGGACGGCCCCAGCACAACTTCTGCCCATGGACGATTGGCAAAGCTGGAGTGAAAGCCTCCTGCGTACGTCATTAGATGCGGCAAAGCTACGCTCCCCAACGAATGAGCTAGAACATAGCCTGGCATGGCGCCAGGCTACCCTTCCAGTCAGGCTGGGCGGCCTGGGTCTCATCGACCCCATCTCGGAAGCGCCTGCAGCTTACCTGTCATCCGTGAATGCGGCCCGGCTCCTTCTCCAGCAGCTCAACACGCCCCGGGACCATGCCCTTGCCAGGGTCGCCACTCTGCTCTCTCCTGACCATACCACGACAGGTGGAGAGCAGTCGACCCTGGCCGAATTGGAGGCCCGCCTGCTAGAGGAGGCGAGAATGCTACTGGGGGACTTCCGTGCATAGATGAACACACAACAAAACCTGCAGCTGCTACTCTCGAACCACATCAACAGAGCAAGGGCGGCGGAATTGGTAGCATATACGAGACTGGACAGACCTGGAGTTGACAACGGCCACCCACTGTGCCTGTTGAGTCTACAGGGCACAGGTGCCGAGGGCTGGCTAAACGCAGTACCGACCCGGGCGGACCTCACGCTAGCACCTGGGCAATTCTCACTGGCGCTAGGACTACGCCTTGGCTTGACACTACCCGTTACAGACCAGTGCCCATGCAACCGAGCACAGTCCGCCACAGCCGAAAAAAGCTTACCCAACCACCTGCTACGGTGCAGCGAAGGAGGGGACCGGACGAGGACGCACAACGCACTTGTTTATGCGTGCCTGCGCATGGCGAAGGAAGCAAAGTATATGACCTTGCACGAGACTACGGTGTACTCTCCGCCGGTGGACAGGAAGAGGGCGGATCTAGCCATACGTGATCCAGAGACGTCCGAGACTTGGGTAACGGACGTGACCGTGACGGACCTGGTATCGCAGCGGCGGGATCTTGAGGCAACAAGGGCTCCTGGGTGGGCGACCGAGGAAGCATGCATTGGCAAGCACACGTTGTACCAGGAACAACCATCATGTGTGGGGTTCCTGGGACTAGCGGTAGAGACTTATGGCGCGCTGGCGGCAGACACAGTTAAATTCTTTAGGATGCTAGCCACCAACGTCGCCAAACGTGGCTTCCGCTACGGCACCACCTGCTGCTGCTGCTGCTCCCTCCTCGCCCTCACCATCCAACCATCCCGCCTCCTCCTGCGTGCCAGCCCCACCTGCACCTTTCTTCCCCACCTGCGCAGCGGCAGCGAGCCTCTCCGCATCGTGCGCGTGGCGGTCAGCGTCGGCCTGCTTGCCCCTCACGAGCTCCACCACGGCGGCCAGCTCCACCAGCGGGATGGCACGCGGCAGCATGTTGCCGTACTTGCTGGGGGGGGGGCGAGGGGTGCCATGCGGTGGACAGAGATGCAGTGAGATGACCGGGGTGGGGCGGATGTCTTACTTGCTGAACAGAGAGACTCGTAACAGACTGCATGCCCCACCACATACCTAAATCCCTTGCTTAATAACCCAACCTCCCAAACTCACCCCTTGCCCACCACCTCCCCTACAAAGCCTCTCACTCGCTCCAGAGCCACCACCTGCGCAGCGTGCAGAGGGGCGCACAGGGAGCAGAGGGGCGCACAGGGAGCAGAGGGGCGCACAGGGATCAGAGGGGCGCACAGGGAGCAGAGGGGCGCACAGGGAGCAGAGGGGCGCACAGGGAGCAGAGGGGCGCACAGGGAGCAGAGGGGCGCACAGGGAGCAGAGGGGCGCACAGGGAGCAGAGGGGCGCACATGAGGCATGGTATGGTAACAGAGGCATGTGAGGAGTTATGAGAGGCAGAGAAGGGGGAAGTGGTGAGAGGCATGACAATGCATGGAATGGGGCAGGGCGCAGGATGGGGCAAGGCGCAGTGCAGCGAACCTGCTTGTGGAGGGCGCACCTGCTTGTAGAGGGCGGGGGACATGGTGCAGCGCACGTAGAGCACACACGGCTCTATGCGCTGCATGCCCGCCCCCAGGGGTGGTGGGGGGCCGCCCTCCTCCATGGCCGCCGCTGCCCGGCGCATTATGCTGGCATGCTGCGGCGAGCGGATGGCCGGGATGAATATCTGCGATGGGAACATTGCCGTTACAGGCATGACAGTTGGACGTGGGAGAGCGGGGAGAGGGTGGAGAGGGAGAGACAGATGCATGCATGACAGAAGGTGAGATGCAATAAGGGACAATTAAGAGGGGGAGAAGGATGAGCTACTAAGAGGGAGCGCATGGCCACATGCACCAATGCATCCGCCCCAGTCAATGCAACTCCCCTTCCACACTCTCCTCCGCCCCTTCCTCCTCTTCCCTCCCCAACCCCTTCACATTAATCCCACCTTGCCCACTCGCCCTGCCCCACTCGCCCTGCCCCACTTGCCTGCCCCCTGCCCCACCCCACGGGGCCACACGCACCTCACACGGCTCGCCCGGGCAGTGTTGGGCCAGGAGGGCAGTGATCTGCTGCTGCGCCTCGAACTCGCCCCCTCGGAACGTGCCCACCTTCCACCACTGCACGCCGCGCACCCTCATCGCCTCCACCGCATCGCCCACCTCCACCTGCTGCTGCTGCTGCTGCTGCTGCTCAGAGTCTATTGCCTCGGCCATGTCCCCCCGCGCCTGCACCACCTGCCCCTCTCCACCGCCTTCACCAGCCACTGCTGCCTCTCCCAGCCCCCCCTCCATCAGCAACCCCCCTTCACCTCCCCCATCCCCTGCACCACCACCCACTCCTTCCGCCTTTCCCTCCTCCCCTCCCGCCTCCCCAGCTGCCCCCTCCACCTTCTCCGCGTCCCCCCCTCCCTCCGGAGCCGTCTTCTTGCGGCGCCCACCGGGGTTGGCGGGGCGCTTCCTGAGCGGCGCCATGGCGGCCATCACGCGCTCCTCCTGCTGCCGCCTCCGCTGCTGCACCGCCTCGGGCTCCTGGCGGACACAGGGGACACGGGGGACATGGGGGAGTGGGGGACATGGGGGAGTGGGGGACACGGGGGAGTGGGGGACACGGGGGAGTGGGGGACACGGGGGAGTGGGGGACACGGGGGAGTGGGGGACACGGGAGACGTGCGGGACATGGGGGCCAAGGGGGACAGGGGGGCCAGGGGGGACAGGGGGGACAGGGGGAAGGGGACAGGGATGCATGTGTGTAGCGGATGAGAATGGCCCAGCTGCTGCCAACCCAGAGTCTCAAGGGAGCGCACTGGTCTGTCCCGGCCGGCGCCCTCTGCTCCGGCGGCGAGAGCAGGGTGGCTCCGCGCAGCCACGCAGCTAAGAGGAGAGGCTGCGGTTTTCCAGCGCTACCTGCCCGCGCATCTGCTAAAACCCGCTCAAACCCCCGCCGCCCAGCCAAGCAGCCTCGCAAGCCGCTCACCATCAGCCGCAATCGTCGCTCCTGCCGCCGCTTCCGCAATTCCTTCCGCGACAGCCCGCCCTCACCCTCGTCGCTGCCCTCACCGCCGTCGCTGCCCTCCCCGCCGTCGCTGCCCTCGCTGCTCTCGCTACGCCCCCTCCCGTACGCGGCGCCGCCCTCCGCCTCCACCAGCGCGCCCACCGCACGGTCGCCCTCGCTCTCAGCAGACCCCGCCTCCGCCGTCGCCGCCACCACGGCCCCCGCTATTGTCACTCTCCGCCTGGAGCCGGCCGGGGTGGCTATCAGAGCGATTGGACGTGGATCGGCGCGGCCCAGAGACGAGAGGCATCGCGACGGACGTTGCGCTCGGACAGCGGCGGAGAGGGTGGGTGCGACGCGCGAGTGCGGATGGCAGGCGAGCGGCAGCGCGGAGGCGACGTGGCTGATCGGCGCGACGCGGTGCGACGACGGCAGAAGCGGAGGGAGCCGCGGCGTGTAGCAGAGGGGATGACGGGCGAGGGAGGACGAGGCGCGAATGGCTTCCATGAGGGCGGAGCAACTGTGGCTTCGCAATAACATTATCTGGTGTGGTGGTGCGTTTCAGGGGTTTTTGCATTAAAGCCAATTTTCAATTTTAGTATCCTAGCTTGGCAAACTTGGTGTATACTCTCTCTAAGATTTTCCTATTTGAGTGCAATTGAGAGCTAAGATTGCATGAGAGAAGGCATGAGCTAACATTTATAGAGAATTTTATGAGTTGTAAAAGAGAGTGCGCAAAATAACGAATACCGTCAGGCCCCGGATATGCCCGCCCCTAGGAGGGCTGATTTTATCAGGGTAATTACCCTGATTTCAGGGTGATTTCAGGCTTTCCACTTCGTGGAGACTGAAATTTCAGAGTTATTGAATTTCCAGCCCTGATCCAATCAGAGTCATAGTTTAGCTATCCCTGATTTTGAGTACAGTATAACAGACTAGGCTGTTAGTGGACCCTGACTTAACAGAGTATCGACTGTGTGGACCCTGACTTATCGAGAGGAAGTTTCTCAGAAGTTTCCTTCCGATGACCCCGCCTTGGATTGATCGCAGTGATCCCCCCACATGTGCGTAATCCCCCCCCCTCCCGCTTTATCGAGACGAAGTTTCTTCGAAACTTCGTTATGATACACCTACCATCGAGATCGCGTGAATCTGCAATGTCAGATATACTTTGCTGGGATTGGTCGAAATAGGCTCTGACAGCGGAAATCTGTAACAGCAGGGATAGGCTCTGACAGCGAAATAGGCTCTGACAGCGAAATTGGTCGAAATAGGCTCTGACAACGATACTTTGCTGGGATTGGTCGAAATAGGCTCTGACAGCGAAATAGGCTCTGACAGTGGAGATATTTTCCCCGGTAACAAAGCGCGCGTTACTACTCTGATGTTCAGTTCTCGACCCTGAACAATCAGTGTTAACTACTTTACAACCCTGAGCAATCAGGGTACTGCTTTTCTGGAAAATGTGCACCCATAATAGAGGGGGAAAATTTTCCCTGGAATCAGGGAGGCTTGAAATGAAACGTCAGCCCTGCCCTGGGGGTATATTAAAACAAGTTTTTTTAGGGGGGTGGGCTTATACTCGAGGAAATTTATAAGCGCCGGGGCTTATATAATGACATATATGAAATCTAGTTTTTTTTACATCAAATTGTTCATCTCGTTCTTGCGATTTGAATCGAGTCGAATTTTAGAGGGCTGAGAATGAGAATCTCACGTAAGTTAGCAAGGAACGATTCCCTCCCAGCACACACAGTCAAAATGAGTCATATTTTCCCCATGACAGGCGAGCGAGATGTCGGGGTTGTACGCGTAGCAGTCAACTGTTAGAATATATCTGTAACTGCCTGTAGCTGTAGTTAGTGTAATTATTATAAACTTTGTTAGGTGGTGCACCTTCTTTGTTCATTTGCTATATGTTCTTGCAAACCTATAGTGAAGTCATTTCTCCTCTCTCGACTCTCTCGACTTGGCACAACCACCTCGACTCCCATGGCCTAGGCTTCTAAGTCTAGGCCCTTAATCTAAACTTTGCCTACTATCATTCGACATGGTATTCAGAGCAGGAACCTTCCTGCTGCCTTCCTTAACGGGCCCACCATTTTGTTTCCGCTACATGTCGTCCTGCCGCGCGCCTAGGGCGCGCGGCGATTTTCTGCCCGCCGTGTGCTCGGGGCGCACGGCGGTTTTCTGCCCGCCGTGCGCCCCGGGCGCGCGGCGTCTGCCTGCCTGCCTGCCTGCCTGCCTGCCTGCCCGTCGTGCGCCCCGTGGCGCGCGACGGTGCCCTGAGCCGCCGCGGACCCGCCCCTGGCGCCCGCGACGGTGCCTTGAGCCGCCGCGGACCCGCCCCTGGCGCCCGCGACGGTGTCCTGAGCCGCCGCGGACCCGCCCCTGGCGCCCGCGACGGTGCCTTGCGCCGCCGCGGACCCGCCCCTGGCGCCCGTGACGGTGGCCTGAGCCGCCGCGGACCCGCCCCTGGCGCCCGCGACGGTGCCCTGGGCCGCTGCGGACCCGCCCCTGGCGCCCGCGACGGCGCCTCGTCATCACCAGCGCCTGCACTCGGTGCAGCCGCCCGTGCCTCACATGCGCCTGCACTCGGTGCAGCCGCCCCTACCCTACCCGCGCCTGCCCTCGGTGCAGCCGCCCCTGCCCTTCCCTGTGCGCCACCCCTCTGTGGCTGTGGGGCGGCTTCTTCCCCGCCACCCCCCCCCCCCCCCCCTCCTCCTTCTTCTTCCTGCTGCGCGTGCAGCCGTGGGGGGGAGGGTATGGAGGTGGCGGGTATGGGGGTGATGGGTGGTATGGTCCCTTCCCCTCCTCCTCCTTTCGTTCCCACTGCTGCAGCTGCCGCTGGGGGGAGGGTGTGAGGGTGTGGGGGAGCCAGGGGAGTGGCATTGGGGTGGCGGGTGTGAGACATCCAGCCCCCGTCCCTCTGAGGTGGGGGGGGGGGGGGGAGGAGAGTAAAGGGGTGGCAGGAGTGCCTGCTGTACCTGCTTTGTAACCTTGCCTGTTGCCTGCTGTTGCTGTTTTCTCAGTTCGTGGTGTACCCATCCAGGTTGTGTTGCTGCACAGACTCCTGCTTCTGGCAGTTATGGGGGAGTGTTAGAATATATCTGTAACTGCCTGTAGCTGTAGTTAGTGTAGTTATTATAAAATTTGTTAGGTGGTGCACCTTCTTTGTTCATTTGCTATATGTTCTTGCAAACCTATAGTGAAGTCATTTCTCCTCTCTCGACTCTCTCGACTTGGCACAACCACCTCGACTCCCATGGCCTAGGCTTCTAAGTCTAGGCCCTTAATCTAAACTTTGCCTACTATCATTCGACATCAACCCCAGTAAGGAACAAGGAAAATTCCTTACACTTCAGAATCAATATAGCGGAATGAGGTGCACTAGCATGAGTGAGGAGTACAAGTAGAGCTAAACCTAATGGTTTGTACTCAATGCAGTCTATCCCACTACAGCCTACACAACACATAAGTTATTTTGACACACCCCATAGGCGAAGTGGGGGATAACAAACACAACAAGCGGTCACAAGACCATTCAAGAGAAGAAACAAAGCAAAGCAAGCTCAGGGTGGATCCCAAGATCACGTTGCATTCCGAGCACAAGCAAGCGGCCACAAGGTTAGTTCACATGCAGTTTTATAATAGAGCAAGCAGTACAATGATTACAACCAGGGCTTCAAATTGGTTTTGGGCTAGCCTTTGTAATCAGGGTTCTAGGTTTGAAGAATTGAGGAAATGAATGATTGACTAGGAAATGAGTTGGGTACAAATATGAAACCCTAGGAAACTGTACCCCATAGTGTCTACCCCACTACAGCCTAAACAGGCTATGTGATTTATGTTTGACACACCCCCATAGGCAAAGTGGGGGAGAACAAGGGGTCACAAGACCAGTCAAGCAAAGCAAAGCAAAGCAAGCTCAGGGTGGATCACAACGTCACCACACATTCTGAGCACAGGTTCAAAGGCCACAAGGCCAGTTCACATGCAGGATCATATATAAAAGGTAAACAAGCAGGTATATATAGATCACAGTACAAGTGAAGTCAAGAGGTAAGCAAGTGAGGCCAAGTAGGCACAAGACCTAGCATAGTACAGAAACGCTGATGATCACAAGGCTGAAGTGCCTTGGTGAAGATATCAGCAGTGTTGGCCTGAGAGGCCACGTAAGCGAGGCATAGCTGACCACGCTGCTGCAGCTCACGAGCAAGGAAGTAGCGGAGAGCAATGTGCTTCGTTCTGTGCTCCAGTGTGTGCTCCCGACACAAGGCCAGCATGGCCTTGTTGTCTACGTACAGAACTGGAGGAGAACGAGGCGGCTCTCCCAGGTCAGTCAGCAAGTAGGTAAGCCAGCGTAACTCCTGTGCAGCCATGGCTCCTGCGTAGATCTCAGCCTCACAGCTGGAGCTGAGAACAGAAGACGAGCGGGTAGACCGCCACGAAACAGAACCGGAACCAAGGCTGAAGGTGTAACCCTGTGACGACCGCTGAGTAGCCAGGTCGTCAACCCAAGACGCGTCTGCGTGACCAGTGAGGACCACTGGACTCCGCCCTCCAAGCACGAGCCCCATGCCCGACGTACTGCACAGGTATCGCAACACCCTCTTCGCGGCAGCCATGTGCTCTGGTCGGTGTCTCCCAGGAGCAACATAGCGAGCCAAGATGCTAAGAGGGTATGCCAGGTCAGGTCTAGTGCAGGTCATCAGGTACATGAGGCAGCCAACAAGCTCTGGGTACGGGCCACTTGGCTCTACGGACTCATCTGAAGGCAGAGCTGAGAGCGAGTGGCGAGTAGACAGAGGAGTGGCCTAAGGCGAGGAGTACGTGAAGTCGAAGCGCTGAAGGACCTGCTGCACCATGTGTGACTGAGTCAGGGTAACGGTGCGCCGTGCTCTGTCCCGGGTGATCTGCAAGCCAAGGTAGCTGCGCAGTTCACCCAGGTCTGTGCACGTGTGTCTCTTCTGCAGCTCGGACTTCACGTGGGCGAGTCCAGCAGTGTCAGCTGTAGCAAAGACCAAGTCGTCGACGTACACGAGGGTGTAGAACGGCGGCAGCGAGGTGTCGGTGCGAAGAAACAGCGACGGGTCAGTAGTAGAAGGAGCAAACCCAAGAGCCGCAAGCGTAGTCCTCAGTGTGTCGTGCCACTCACGGGGCGCCTGGCGGAGACCGTAGACTGGCCGCCGGAGACTCCACTGAGTACCAGGAGGAAAAGACCCAGTGAAGCTAGGTGGGCGGCGCAGCCAGATCTCCTCGTGCAGGCTGCCCTGTAGGAAAGCAGTGCTGAAGTCAAGGGAGTGAAGCTCGTAGTCACGCTGAGCAGCGACGTGCAGCAGGACCCGAGGAGTGGTCATCTTCGGGGTCAGGGAGAAGGTCTGAAAGTAGTCAACTCCCTGCCGCTGACTGAAGCCTCGAGCCACGTACCGCGCCTTGAAGACAGGTGGAGAACCCGGTGGCCGCTTCACCCTGAAAATCCACATGCCACTGACGATGTTAGCCCC